AGCAAGTAAACAATGACAACATTCTTTCCGGGGAGTAACGCGTTCACCACCATAGACACCTGCGGTCCAGAGTTTTGCAAATATCTCAGCAACGTTGTGGTTGTATTTCGCTTAGTAACCTGCCATGAAAATTATAGAAGGCAGAAAACAAAACGTTAAACATTATGAGTAGAACACTTTAAGAAAAAATAGTTCCCAGAAAATGAGCCCGACAAAATACATAGACAATGGATTATAGAGTGAAAACACAACAGATACGATTATTTTGGGTGGACGAGTAGAACGGACGGTACGAATCACACATGACTCGTACTTCGCGTGGTGAATAATTAAGTGTAGTAACGTGTACTTGAAAACCCAACAGTAGTGAACTGATCAGACTTAGCACTGGAAAGAAAACAAAGACGTAACAAAAATACTTGATCCTACTAGGTAAACTTGATAAATGAACAAACACATAACGTGAGCACGATTTTCAGTGTCCCTGCAGCTTAGGACGGCGCTTAATTTCCAGTCTTTACAGACTTGGCGTTTTTGACAATAAACGATAGCTTTCCGATAACTAGAGGTCTTGAGAATTTATTACCAAGCCATAATCGTGCAGACTTTTCTTTACTGCTTTATGGTTATGAATGGCAACTATGGCACTATTGTATTAGCTCATTGTAACCTGCTACTGTAACCTGTTACAAAAATGCTTGGGAGTGCTGTGTAACTAATGATGAGGCTATTTTGATACATTTCTATACCCACATATTCCATACAATGGCTATAACTTATTAACAGTAACGTTTAAAATAAAAGTCAATTGACAGTTCAAATACCGGTCAACGAACTCGCTCAAGAAAAATACGAAATTTCTTGTGTTTCTAAATACGAAACTCAGAATCAATATATGCTCTCACGTAGAGCCCAACACAACCTCCATGTTGGATAAGCTATCGAGTGTTTACAAGAAAGTCTGGGGAAGGGGTTTTGTTGGTCTAAATAAACCACCAGAAAGAGAATAGACAACATAGAGCTTGTACCGGCCATTTCGCTGTGTATGATTGCATTAGAGTGAACATCGTCAACTATGTGCAAAGAGTCCTAGCAACAGGGTGCTCTAGGTATTAAACAAAAATATACCTTTTAATCTGAGGTGAGGTGTCACAATTTTCATCGTTTGCCTTCGTGATCATGCTAGTTGAAAGAGCTCTTGCAAGTTGAAGGTCTTCTTCAAACGGAGAATTCGGTGCTCCCTTTAACTTTGCCGGTAAAACTTCCTTCTTCACTGGCACCGGTGCTCTAGAAGTATTCCTCACTAACAACAGCTCATGTTTTGCATTTAACAATAAATCCACCAACTTCGTATGCACCATATTGTGATGCTTCTTGGCATTACAAATACGCTGTTGAGTCTCCATAAGTTTTAGCAACTCCTTCGGTGTTATGTTGAAGGCTTTTCCACACCGCTTCGCATGAGCTGACCGATGCTTTAAAAGTTTAAGAGTTATTAAAAGCTTTGTATTCTCCTAAATCTCGCCATTTTGACGCAATACTAATTACTTATTAGTAATAAGAAAACTGTCTTCATTTTACGTGTAGTTCTTCCAACCTTATTTGACAACAAAAGGAAACTATTTGGGCATTCAAGATATCTCATAAGCAAGACACTGCTACCACACCATACCTCTTAGAAAGAATAGTAAAAAAAAAAAAGAAAAAAAACCGTTGATTAAAAACTAACAGGACCAGGTGGTTGTGGTTCACCACACATAGGACAGTCAACTACATTGTTCCACTTATCTTTGGCCTTTTCATATGCATTTGATGATTCCTGCGTGTCCAGACATCTGTTAACATGAGCGCACCTATATCAACAAAACCGTTCTGAACGTTTAAATTTGCTTCTTTTTCAAAAGAAACTTTGCTGATCTCATGAAAATATACGGCACAAAGGATTATAAATAGTCAAACTTAGAAACATCAACAACTAAGTGTTAAACGGAATCTTAAAGTTGCTTAAAAGTACAAAAGATTTTAGTGAACATTTAGTAGCAGGACTGACTTTCTCAGATTATCCAGATGTGATATATTTTTTGAACAGACAGCACATGTGTCAAACTTGCCAGACGACTCTTGCAGTGAATCTAAAAGCAACAACAATTTACATAGTAAACTCATGTAACATATACATATATACGTAATATATATATATATGTTATGTATATGCTCTAGATGGATCACGCGTGGCGCAGTGGTCAGAGACTCCCTGTAATACACATGGGATCGATCCCCGCGCCCAAGGCCCAGCAAGCCTTCCATTCCTCCGGGGTCGGCAAGTTGGTACCAGACTTGTCTAGGAGGTTAACAGCACTGGCTCGATACATCGGCAGGCCACCGCGACTCATTGTAAAGACCAGATATTCATTAAATCACCTCCAACGATGCTTACTGAAGTTGAATGCATGGCGCATCTCTCAGAAAATGAACAAAGTCGAGAGCTTTATCCTTTAGCTTTTTATGCTCTAGATATATCTAAATTCCTTATTCACCATTTTTCTTCAATAAGTACAAAACACGAGAGTAGTATTATAACATTTATTAAAGATGAATTAATATACTAAAAATGCCATAATAACAACCTCGCGTTTTGCTTGCCCATTGAAGAAAAATAGTTATTGAGTTATTACTGATCAATGCCGAGGTCCACAGAAGGTCGGTCTTGGGACATACATTCTTCATTTTCAAAAACGTCTTAGGAACTGCATTTTAAATGATTTGCGATATTGCCCACTGATTTTGTTATGTACGTGCCCGGAAACCAATTGGCCTGTAAACGTTAACATATTCTTCTCTAAATGAACCGATTTCTCGCCCTTGCAGTGCACACCGGTCGTTGGAATCAACGCAGCACAAAACACTGGGCATAAAAATAACCCACCACTTTTAGGTTTTTTTCCTCTACAATTCGAGCTACCCAGGTATTTCGTTCATTTCCCCGGATTTCTATGTATTTGGCATTCTCAATGTTCTGTAGATATTTATTTACTTCGACAATTGGATTGCCCGTCTTCACTGGTTGTGCGGGCCCCAACCTAATTTACATTTTTCGAACATTTGTTAGTTTAGCCATCGTGGTTCCCTGGAATCCCAAGGTCAGCCAGGCCAAAGGCTGTCCCAGGTCTTCACCATCCAAACCATAGCCGCGGGAGATTTGCCACCATGCGACTAGTTTGATAGCAGAACGATGGTGGATCTTGAAATTGGTTTACTCGTAGCTGGATTTCCTGATGGAAACGCCGGACTCCTCAGTTCGGAAGCCCTGCTGGAGAGATGAATCCCCCCGCCGTACCTCGCAGCCCGACACCAGAGAACACTTCGTGGCCACGATGAAAGGGTAAACCCTTAGAAGGATTCCGCAGATCTTCGTTGGTAGATAGCAGGGCCGAACTTCAGCAGATCCTCACATTTTTAAAATCTATCCAGTTAGTGTGCGTAGTGTAAAAAACTATTCACCATCTACCTACGATGCCATTGACACTTTCGCAAAGAAGTGTACAATATCTGAAGTGCATCTCCTTTTTCTCATGTCTTCTGTATCTTCCACTAAACAGGCTAGCATTAGGTGCAACTAAATGTGGAAACTATTGTTCATCTTTGTTTAGATTAATTAAACAGTGTAAATTCTACGCAAAAGAGTGCAGTTCCTACATATGAAGCATATACTTCTTGTAAAAAGTATGAATTTCATGTAAGAAATGTATACATGCTCTGGCACGACACCTCTGGAGGAAGCTACTGTGTAAAGAAAAAGTACAGCAAAAAATTGACCAGTAAAAACCACACGAAATGGTATGCTTTTAAAACAGTGATCATAATCACTAACGCGTCGCGAGCCCTCCATCCAAAATGCAGCAATGTTCTCGGATTTAAATTTCGCTTTTAATTTTCAAAAAACATAGTCTGAACATGTTTGAAATAAAAAAGAATATTTTAGAAAAAAAAATATGAAGACTGAGTATACTTCTCTAGTCTGGTGATGACATACTATGCCAAACCAAACCCAGCAAGATGCAAGATAAGGATCGTCAGACACAACCACCACGATGCTAAGATATTTGCAAAACGTCGACCCAGGGCCAGATTCGAATCCGTGATTATCCTTTCCGGAAGCTCACGTGTCAACCACTGCACCACTGGGTCCCTTGCCTTGCTTTTCTGTCAGTGAATTTCGGACAGTTCACCAAAGACAAAACTCAGCAAAAATAACTACTGATTAAGCTGAAACTGGCCGGCCTTATGTTCCAAGGATTCCAAACACATGGAAGAGCTTTGTATTGATATTACAGGAACTGATTGAACGTCACCTTTCTTTTCTGGTCGCCTAGAATATTTGAGAAATAAAACAGCATAAACTCCTGCTAACTATAAATACAATTATGCAAATTAACACATTCCCGACGATGCGTACTGACCGCTATTCGTATAATAAAAAAACGATGGCTCTTTCAACCTTAAACCACCTAAGCCCAGATTATATTAAGTCTTATTTTTTGGAATAGAAACCATTGGAATAGACAGATCTTTCCTTAGAAGAAATAAGCTATATAATTCTACCACGATGAAGCCCATGGACCTCATAGAAGGACCTCATACCGGTTAGTGGTGAGCCAACGTGACTCGTCACCAAGTGGTGGATAATAGTCAAAAGCGTCCTTTTCAGACACGCAGGTGGATCCAGGGGATGACACCCTGTTTCTGCTGCGTTGATTTGGAGCATACTTTCTGTGCTTACGAAGACGTATTCATGCATACGGACACTGTCATTTATACAAATTCCATTCTACAAGCCAACTCGGCCAAAAAGGGAGGTGCTTAGGAGTCGCCTCCAACAAATAATAAGCCTCTCTGTATTCTAGGAGAGACTGTAAACTACTCGTGAGTAGACCCGGACACCACGTTCAGAGCTCAGAAATCTATGCGTGTGTAACGAAGCTGAACACAGTGAAATAAACGAGCCTCATTCCGCTGAACCCTAAACACCCTCCGATGCCACAGCGTCGGAAAAAACGAGCACGAAGAGGCTGTTAACATTTCAGGGCCGTTCTAAACTGCCTAAATCGAAAAGGATTAGGATGACGATCTGTACCTACAAAATGCCGACTGATCATTCAAACAAGAATGATAAGGTACGACGCCAACGGACTCGCTGAGACGAGGAGACACCACTCATTCAATGGCGTATAAGAAACCGGAGAAGAACTGTTTCACGGAACATGCGACAGTAGAGGAGTTGGCAACGTCAGCGCTCTCGTCAACACATGTTTGGCTATGAACATCGATTCATTCCAACAACTAACAATCCGAATCGTACTTTTACAAATAATGTGGATCAATACCGGCTCCGACAACCTTCACCGTTTACGCGCCGAGATCAAACAATGACGAAGTAGTTGAAATGTTCTTCACGGACTTGGAGAAGTTCAACACAAAACACCACACATTCTTTAAGGCCATCATTGAGAATTTCAACGCTAGGATTGGGCCTAGAAGAACGTCCAAAAACGCCACACCGAAACCTACGGATTAGAATGGAACGAGGTGGGTGAGCGGCTATTTATCACAACGACCAAGACCATGGTAACCAGCAATCCCAGAAGCCCCACCCTCAACGCTGGACGTGGGAGCCTCCCAATGGAGAGTACTACAACGAAATAGACCAGACCATACTAAATCGAATACTTTGTCTAACAGATTTCGATGTTGTCTTAAAATCCTACAAAGGATCAGACCATCGCCTCCTTCGTGCAAGATTTCGTTTGTCCCGGAAGGAAGAGAACGCCGTTTGTTTGCGTTAAGGCTAGCATTTAGAGCATAAAAGCAGTCTAACAAGTGGTATTCTCCCTAGCATACCATGAACGTGTTCTCCAACGTACTAATGGTTTTTGCGGCTGCAGCGCTTGCGTGGGAATTCATAGCAAATTAGTGGACTACAAAAGTGTAGTCCCTTTACTCTTAAGGCTATACAGTAAAGTTCTTCCTATGAGTACATAAATTTCCCAACTGCTCCACTGCTCAAAATTGTCGTCTGTGTTCAAAAACAAGCATCGTCGAGAATGTGTTGACAGTCATTAAGAACCACAGATAGCTTTAAAACACAGTATAACATATAAAAATCCATACCGAGGAGCCGCTAAAAGCGACCGAAGTGGATTTGGCGAACAGAAATCATCGTCTGACTCCTTGGCCATTCGATTTTTGTTGTATCTCTGCAAAAAACAAGACTACTAAAGAAACACTGTAATTTCAGTAAAAAGTATTAGTACCACATCAAATTTTGCTATTACGAAGACTTCCCTGCAAAAGTTAAACACACATATATCACAACGACTAAGTAATGAAATTACTAATGAAATTAGTAATAATATTGAGTATTTAAGGAGCGAGTTTTTAAATAAATGGTCTCAAAAAAAATAAGTAACGTCCGTGTACTGGCCGTAGTTACGGTTTTCTTCGCGCGCTTTTTTGACGCCTAATACTAGCTTACGATATTGATTCATCGTTAGCCTTGTCTGCATTCGATACGGTCCGTCAGCCACTGCTTCCGTAAAGAACTGCTTCTGTGGCATTTACTTTGTATTATGTCTTACTGGTATATAAGTAAGTAAGTAAAAGTGGTAATACAAGTGCTAGTATGAGTACTTAGTAAGTAGAAGTATGTACAAAAGTAACAGTATTGCTTTTTGTTAACTTTGCTTTTCATGGCGTTCACAGTATGATTTGGTCATATCATCGATTTATCTACCTAAATTACTCATAAGGGGACGGATAGCACCGTGGTAGTGATTTTTGTCATCATGAGCATGGTGCTAGTATTCGGGAAATTGGTACCGGACTTCTCGTGGAGAATTCATTCTCAAATCCAATTGGGAAAGCTCCAGCCCGGATATCTTAGGACTCCGGCGAGAGTTGCTCGACCAGCATTCTACGACATTCAAGGTGAAATGAAAATCCTCAAGCAGTAACCGAAGCCACACGTGAAAAAATTTGAAGATCTTTGTGGACGATGGATGCGACGAAACGAATCGAATGTTAGAAGTGCTCGGATCCGCACAGTAGACGTGAAGACGGGTGAAATGAAATAAAAAACAAAATTCCTGGTAACCCTATCACCGTTATGGCAAATAGGTAATGAAAGTTTCCTCATCTGTCCCTAGTCAAAACTTCGTTGCTATTCGATGACGTGCAAAGTTTCATTGTTGTTATATAGTATGCAATAGGAAACGTTATTGGCTTTTAGGATTAATGAGATGGGTTCGAGAACAGCTTCACCAGTAGATGCTACAGGTCGACGGTATGTGTGTTTTATATGAATCTGCTTGAATTTCGTTTATGATGTCGAAATATAGCAAAGAGCAGGTGTTGGCATCTGCCAGATGGCACAGTTATGTAGTTGTCTTTAAAATTTAAGTGCTTTTAGTGCTAAGGGTACTCTTCTCTTCAAGCGGAGCGCTATGTCGACATTATTGATTAAGGTGGTGGCTAAAATGGTTACCGACATGTTGATTAGGAGTGTTACATTTTCCTCTGATCTACGCAAACCTCTTTGAAACCTCGTAATTTTAGTACGATTCCTTTGTTGGACCATTTCGTTTTCAAGCGCACTGCGACAGTTTGTTTGCTGACGCCCCTCTTAACTACTTTTAAAGGGTTTCTTGCTATATAAGGGTTATTCTTAGGAAAAAAATCCACAAGTAGCGATTTTCACGCCGTTTCAGTTACCTGATCTGCTTCTTTAGATGTAGATGTAAGACAAAAGTGCTTATGGGATCTTGAAATCTTCGTCTTTTTCCCACATTTTTGAGCGTAGCGCTGTTTTGGTACCATGTCTATTAGGTGTGCATTACCACAGGTGCTGCGCTACCTGTCTGTTCTCCGTTAGCATATTTCTGTACCAATTAGCGAAGTATATGTTCCTATTCAGCAAACTTTCACTGATTACTGGTTTAGCATGACACCTGTCGACGGGATTGTTCCGGGTGTTCCAGTTAGAAAACGTGGTCGCCCTCCAAAAGTGGGATCAACTCCGTAGGTTCCAAGCTACTGCTATAAATACAACCACAGTGACGAACAATTTGTTGGCTTTTTTCCTTTCTGCCTACTGCAAGTTTTCATGGCAGGGTATTATGTGAAGTGCAACTATAATGATGCTGAGACATTTGCAAAACTCCGGACCGCAGCGGTCTCCGGCCGGGATCGAACCTGTTAAAACCCTTTCCGGAGACTAGTGTGTTAACCACCGTACCATGTGGGTCCTTCGTTTTGCCTACCTCTCAGCTAATTTTCTATCGACTGGTGCCGTCAGCAGTCATCTATCAACGGGATTGTTCTGGGGAGAGCAAATCAGCATTGAACCCAGTTAAGCTCAAGCTTTAGTCGGAATCATAATGTTAACATGCAGGTGGTAAACGCGTTCACCCGTTACCTGTAAACCCGTTGATCATCAAGTAACTCCAGCAGGCGTCAGGAAAGCTTCTATTTCTCCCTGTTGCGTCCATGTGTAGCACAGTGGGTTCTCCTCGCTCTAGGGACTCGTTGTGTATCATTTATTCCTTCTAGGTTTTTCGTGAGGAACTCTGACCATTGGGTCGGTAGTCTTCCTACAGTGCATCTCAAGGAATCCACTCACTAACAACTCTCATCCTTTCGTTGTTGTTCATACGCATTACGTGTCCGACACATCTTGCCTTCGACTGTTTAGCACGCAGAACGGCATCCTTGATTTTTGATCGTTGAAGCAGGTCGGAGCTTCGGATCCCTTCCCTCACTTGTGTGAAACGGGATACTCCTGGTATCGTCCTTTCGACTGGGCGTTCAATAACGCTGAGTGACCTTTCATCCTGCTTACGCGCAATACTTCACTGTCTTGTTATGGTGTGGACGTGGTCCATTGTACTAAATCCTTTTCAAAATCCTGCTTGCTGACATGGCTCTTCGTCCAGTGTTCTGTCAATCCTGTTTAAGATAAATGAGTAAGAAGTTTGTATGCGGCAGACAGCAAGCAGTTTGGGCGGTGGTTTCCGATATCGTGACGTCACCCTTCTTGAACAATAGCAGGGTCTTGCTGGTCTTCTATTGAGTAGGGACCTCGCGTTGAGACGGTTAATGTGTAAAGAGTCGAGCCAGTGTGTTTACTAGGATTGACGGAAGGTTCTTCAGATGTTCAGATCTTATACTGTCCGGACCTGATGCTGTTTGATTTTTCACCGGCGAAAAAGCAAGTCGGATTTCGGTAGGGAGAACCGGTCGTGTGACATATCCATCCTGCTTTATTTCATATGATGGAATGAGGAAGTGGCAATTGAATAGTTCTGTGTAATAATCGTGAATGATTTTCTATAATGCACTTATGGACGCTGCAACTGTTCCGTCTAGGCGTCAGAGTTCAATAATCTAGGTTTTGTAGTTGACGAAGCTTCGGTGGGCTTTGCGAATGCTTTTCCTAGCCTCTGCAGCTTCGGCCATTACTACTGCTCTTTTATCTTTAAGATCTTCTTTTATCGCCTGTCTGCATTGCGTTGCAAGCTCCGACGTTAGTTCGCGGTTGCCCTCAGCTCGAGCAATTCCACGCTGGCGTATCAGCTCGAGTGTTTCTGGAGACAGACGTCTCTTGGTGATTTTCGAACTCTCAGCTTTCATAGCGCTAACGTGAGGCTGTTGAATGAGCCGATCGTATTCTTCGTCGATGTTATCGGCTTCTTCCCAACAGCCGACTAATGGATTGAATAAGCCCCGGTTGTGGGACTTCGGTTTTTGAATTCATCGGCTTTTTCTCCTATCCGCTAGAAATAGAATCTTGCACGAAGGAGACGATGGTCTGATCCCGTGTAGAATTTTGGCACAGCAGCGACATCGGTTAGGCAAAACCTTCTATTTACTATGATGTGGTCTATTCCGTTATGGTACTCTCCATTGGGAGACTCCCACGTCCAGCGTTGAGGATGGGGCTTCTGGAATTGCGAGTTACAATGGATTGTCTTGGTCGCCATGATAAACTCAGCCGCTCACCCTGTTCGTTCCATTCTAATCCCTGGGTTCCAATGTGCCGTTCTTCTTGATCCAATCTTGGCGTTGAAATCTCCAGTGATGACCTTGAAGAATGTGTGGTCTTCTCTGTAGAACTTCTCCAAGTCCATATAGAACGCTTCTTCGTCATAGTTTGATGACGGGCGTAAACGACGAAGATTGTCAAAGCCGGAATTGATCGACATCTTTTTAACTGTAAACGTCCGGTTCGGGTTGGAAACTGTTCGAATGAATCGATGCTCATGAACAAACTCGTGTTCACGAGAACGCCGGCGCACCGCACCCAACTCCTCTACTGTCGCACGTTCCGAGGAACAGTTCTTCTCCGGTGTCATTGACGGCATTGAATGGTTGGCGTCGACTCTTCTCGGCCAAACCGGTGACGTCGTACATTATCATTCTTGCTTGCATGTTCAAGTCTTCTTTCGATAGCTCGAATGCAGGTGTGCATGCATTGTAAGTGCCGGTCGTTACCTTAGTTCGTTATGATCTAGGCAGCTTAGAGTGGCCCTGAGATTTTAGCAGCCTCCTTCGTACTAGTCCTACCCAACGCTGCTGACTAGGTGGCTCTATCGAGGTCAAGGGAATGAGGCTCTTTTTTAACTGTATTTAGCTTTTTTGATACCCACATATGGCTTGCTGGTCTCTGAACGTGAGGGCTTGGTATATTCACGCTTAGCTTGCCTGAATCTCCCGGGTTGGAAATGGAGTTTATTTTTGGAGGCGACTCCTAACTGCCTCCTATATACTTCCCTGTCACTTGATTGCAGGCTTTTGGCCGAATTGTCTCGTAGAATACAATTCGCATAGGCGAGAACGCACCCACACCTGCATGCATGAATACGCCTAGCAAATACAGAAAGTATGTGCGAAATCAGCGCAGCAGAAACAGGTAGTCCATCCTCTGGATCCATCTGCATGTCAAGGAACCAAAGGTCGCTTTTGTTTCGCGATTAACCTAAATCTGCCACATGGGGGCGCTCCACGGTCTCGCGGCTGACCATTTCGAGATCCCTCATATGAGGGAGATCCCTGAGTGAATCTGTTAGCCGCCGGAAAACGTAATAGCGGGCTAGATCCTCACTGCAAACACCTGCAGTCGGGAGTTTTGCAAATATCTCGGCTTCATTGATGTTGTATTTCACATAATACTATCTCGTGAAAATCGTAGTAGGATGTGAATTGGAGGATAACATTGTGATTTCTTGTTGTTTTTCGATGCTTGTTAATATGTTTAAGTTCTAAACGTGTTTAGAGTCTTCAATAGCTTGGCAGACCCATCATCGCCTTCGAGGAAGAAGCGTGGGAGGAAGTCGTTAGCAGAATTAGCAAAGGAGGCAGAAAGGTCGATAGCACTTTGGGTGATGTGCATCAAGCTCTCTGTTTTTCTTTGTTATAATCATTTGTCAATCAAATTGTGAAATTTTGTTACAGCAAAGGAAATTTGAGCGATACCAGTTTCCCCGCGTCACCTTCATCAGAGAAACGTGGTCGTCTGTCAACGTGGGCTTACGCTGAGTATTCAGAGTTTGTACTAATTTGATGATGTCTACGGTGAACTGTTGAGTGATTTTGTTTTATATTTACAGTTACAGCGCTTCTGATGATGACGTCCATGAGAAATCCGCGAAGCGGCAGAAAAAAACAAGCGGAACACCGACAAGGTGCGGTTCAATGAAGGCTTAATCGGACTACGTTGTTGAAATGGGACGTGAGTAGTGCAGTGGTCGGGGTAGCCCTGCATTACACATGGGACCGGTTCCCGCACTCCAGGCTCACCAAGCCCTCCATCTCTCCGGGGTCGCAGATTGGTACCAGACTTGTCTGGGAGGATAGCAGCAATGGCTGGATACATCGGTAGACCAGCGCGAGTCATTTCGTAGGGCACATATCTGTTCAAAAACCTCTAACGATGCTTAGGAAAGTCGATTGCATAGCGCGTCACTCAGGGATTGATCAACGCGGCGAACTTTATCCTTCTTTGATGCTGAAGTTATTTTCCATGGTGTATTGTTTGTAAACGAGCACGAAACGGAATTTAATCCTGATTTCTCTAATTTTAGTGGTAAGAAACGTGGACGTCCTCCAAAAAGTCCTGTGAAAAATATTCAAAGGTGAGCATGCGATAAATTCTTTGTCGTCAGATTGCTGTTACATCATAAGATTTGTAGGAATTACTTCTACTCCAATAATTCTTTTTCTTCTGAGTTTCGCTGACGGATGATTGCTGATGGCAGCGTTAGGTTGAAAACCAACTGAGAGAAACGCAGAGCAAGGGCATCCGTGGTGCAGTGTGTAATACGCGAACTCCCGGATTGGGTAATCGTGGTTCGATTTCGCCAGGGGTCCAAGTTTTGCGAATATCTCAGCATTGTTGTGGTTGTACTCTTTTTCTTCTTTTTATACCATTCGATACCAAGATTGTGTATTCTTTATCGTTAGAATCGGAAAATAACATCGAGCTTAGCAGTTGACAACCAAATGTGCATCGTCTATGGGCTAGGCCAAAAATGCGTTAAATTTCAACGAAAGATTTCTCTGAAATTGCTTTAGTGATACGACGATCGACGAAAGCGGTGGATCAAAGCGGAAGAGAGGAAGACCACCAAAGAAACGCGTAGATGATTCAGGGTATAGTCCTTTCTCGATATAATATCTTAGTTTTTAGTTGATTCTTACGTTAACGATTTCTATATGTATACGTAATTAAGGTGATAAAGGAGCTGTGCACAGCAAGTAATGAATTTTCAAAGGTTTTAATAGGAGGTTGTTATATTTTTCAGTACGAATGCTGAGAAAAGAGATGAAATCCGCAATGGGAGTTTGAAAGGGAGTCATTCGCCAAACAATGATTATTCTGAACCTTTTAGCGTTCAAAAAGTGAACTACAGCGACACTGGGTACGTCCATTTGCGTGATTTTGACAGCTGTTTAGGTATGAACTAGTGTTGCTTGTGAAATCAGCAGCTGTTTCAAGGAGTGATGATAGTACTGTTACAGCTTTTTCTAATTGTTGCATTGATATCTTGTATAGAGCCGTTGTCAGTGAGAAGCGCCGTCGCGGAAGACCGAAAAAGGCTGAAAGACCCAATCTGATTGGCAAATGGTGAACTACTGTCTAGTTTAATAAAGTTTAAAATCCATATATTTTCTTGCCATGTAGGAGTGATGGTATTGCACCTTCGACTGGTCGCTACACACTTCCCCTGCCAGTACCGGATAGTTGGCCGATTGTGTTCAACATGGTTAGTTGTTCTGGTTTGAAGATAGACTTAGAACATTCAAAAATAAGTTGAACCGTTTTAGCGCTGGGTAGTTATCCATTTCCATCTGTTTATGGTGAATGTGCTTGTTTTTCAGGAGGAAATAATGAAAGAATTATCGGAGATGTATGCGAATGTGAAGGAGCAGAAACGTGGAGAATTCCACAATCAGATAAAGGCGTTTGTATTCGCCCTACATTGGGTACGTTTTACATGGGTTAAACTAATAATTAGGGTACTTAGGTAGCGGAAATTCTTGGTGAGTAATTCAGTATTCAATACCCAATTTAAAATATTCTTTCCGTCACATAGTTTTCGTTGGTCCCTGCTGGAGGAGTTGAGGAGTTGAAAACTTGACATCATTCTTTAAGACGCTTCGCTTTATCGCCAATAGTAGCATAACTGTCCATTATAAAGTGCGATTTTAATTTCAAGTTTGCTTGGCATCGGAGCCTCAAGAATTGAAAACGAAATTTGAATTTTTTTTCAAAGCGTGGTAGTCAAAAGTTTGAGCTTTACATTAACGAACCCATCGCATTTTTATGCATGTGGTACTGTATGTCTATGCCTTCGCCGTAACAGATTCCTACGAAAAGCAGAAAAATATTTTTTATGGTTTCCAAAATATGAAAACCTCGTCCTAACAGGATAAGAACTGTTATGCCATTTTCATAACAATGTATAGATCTTAATGAACTGTTCTTCGGACAAGAATGAGCCATATATGTCTCATGGCGGAATTGCTGTTTTAATTCTTGGTCTTCATCGTTTCAAACCCTGCAACTAATAATTATTTTTCAAATCTCTATGTTGTTTTCCACACGGTCTGGAATAAAATAAAAAGAAGGATGAAGTTTTTAGCTTTGATCAATTTCTGAGGGATACGTTACCGATTCGAATTCCTTAAGCGTCGTTGGAGCTAATTGAATGCACACCTGGCCTTTACAATGAGTCGCAGTGGCCTACTGATGTATCGAGACAGTGCTGCCATCTTCCCATACAAGTCTGCTACCAATTTGCCGAACCCGGAAGAATCGGAGACTTGGTGAGCCTGGGGCGCGGGAATCGACCCCATGTGTATTGCAGAGCGCTTCTGAGCATTGCGCAACACTCGCCGCGCGGCCCAAGACACCACCCAATATACTGTATACGTTCACTTGCCGTTTTTCTTAGATTCCTTGAAAGGAAGTTTTCTTTAGTTAAGCGAATTCGAAATGACTGTGTGACATGAGAGCGTTTGACATCTGTTCGAGTCATTCCTAGTGAACATCTATTGTAGTCCCAATCTTTAATCTAAGCAGAAATGTTTTATTTTTGGTCCATTGACAGCCACTATCTGTCAAATCTAAGTACTTTTTCAATTGTTTTTCTTATGCGAATAAGCGTTTATGTAATCATTTTCCAGGAGGACGGAAGCTTTTCAACTTCGTAATTGGCATGACTCCTCTTGGAATCGCCTCTTGAAATCATCATGTAATAGTTCCGGCTTAGTTGTTTATTGTTTTGTTCTAACATCATTGCCGTAATGTTTAGAATTTCATTCATTTTAAAAATTTGTTAGACCATTGACAAAAAATTTTCTGGTTTGAGCTTTTAGACTTGCTCGCCCAGTATTTCTCTCACTTTTATCCAGCAGTTCGTAAATCCTACCATTTCACTGGAAAAACCTGTTCTGATAACTTACCTCGTGGTCTCAATCATTCATATTTATTTATTGCAGTGTATTTTTCAGTTATATTCAGTGTGCATTCATCGGTGTAAATTACCGTTTGCGTTGTTCTCCCATTTCTATAGTGACCTTGCTTCTTACGCGCCTGAAGTTTATATGGAATTTTGCGATTTTACATGCCTATATGCTACGTCCCTTTTCTGGAACGTCTGTGCACCTCACCGTCTCGTTGCCATGCTGTTATGGAAATCCATTACGTCGATCCTCTTAGTGGTGGCAGTTAATTGTATGAAGTCAGCTTAAAAGATGTCTTCAGTTAGCCGTTGGTTTTGAAGCCACTAATAAACTGGAAGTTGAGAATTTTTATCCTCACAAATCTTAGTCCAGGCCTATTGTACGATTCAGTGATGGTGTTACGGGTGCGTACTAGTATGGATGTGATGTCTTGTTGCGCACGTTAACTATTTACGAAGACGTCAACAATGAAGCAGTGTTGGTACCAATCATCGCCTAAGGGTCCTGGACTTCTTTCATCAACCATATATTTATCTCCTAGATATGAGGGGCTTTTAAGTATACCGTTGGAATCAGTTTCTGGTAGTTCTGGAACTATAGTTTTTCTAATAATGCCCTTAAATCTTGCAATATCATCCGTCCGTGCGCAAGTACCTGCTGTCTCGTTAAATAAGCTAGAGGTATTGGGTAAGAAACGGGGTATAGCATGGAGACGGATTAACATTCCGTTCACGTTCATTTGTGACAAAGGTTCAATTCTTTGTGATCTGACGACATATGAGTGAAAAGTATTGCTAAGTCAGCTACGTGACAAGTGTAGGCGACAGGTAACGAAAAGTGAACTGGGAATGGATGCAAACCAGATCAATTGAATGCACTGTGTTTATCCGATCAACATGCATGTTCGTCGACCAGCGCTAACCACATGTATTCATGGGTGGAACTATTGGGAAAGCAGAGAGCTGGCGAAATTCACCATGCACAATTGAAAGAGATAGTTGGCGAAAGAGATGAAGGGACAAAATGGATTGTATTTGTGTGGTATGCGTACTTGTGTAGGAGTAACAAGTATGCTCTATCGATTCAAGTTGGCGTTACGACATCACATGCAATAGTTCTATTCCTTTTATGTAAACGGCAGAGAACAGCCCTCCATTGAGAGGTCCGACTATTGTGCAGAGACGTTCGGATGGTCGCAGCCAACAAACCGAGAGAATGTTTAGGGAAATCTGTGGTGATCGACTTTCTGTTAACATCGGCATTGGATTATAAATGCGCCGTTTTCTTGTTCACAATCGAGAGGTTGTTATACAGAATACATTTACTTCTATATAAAAAACACGATACAACAGTAGCTGACGTCTCGGCAGTATCGCCTTCTTCAGAGCCGCTTTTAACTTGACTTCCACTGAGGAAGAGTAGAAGGGCCGATTATAGTCGCATGTGCTTGATGACTGTGGAAATCCATTACGAATATCCTCTTACTGGTGGCAGCATTTGTTCATTAGTTCTGTCATGCTGAGTCCAACATCAGGCTGAAAGTAAAACATTCAAAAATGTACAATTTTGCACAACAGGTTCAGCACTTGTGCGGTATGTAAAGGGATAAAAGATAGAGCTCTCGGCGTTGATCAATCCCTAAGAAATGGGCTGTGTATTAGACTTCATTAAGAACCGTTGAAGGTGATTGAATGCATATCTGGCACTTTGTAATGGTTCGTCATGGCCTACCGATGTATCGAGCCAGTGCTGCTACCCTTCCAGAGAAGTCTGGTACCAATTTGCCGACCGCGGATGGTTGGAAGGCTTAGTGAGCTTGGGGTGCAGGGATCGATACCACGGCATAGATTTACTTTTAGCCGGTCTTCTCAACGGAAATTTCGAACTCTTCGCCAACTTGAGTGATCTTCTTTGCATCGCAAATTGACATTCAAGGAAGTGAACCATAGTCAAAATGAGGTAGAGAAATCATTTAAGAGTAATCTGTTCGTGATAGGTAGAAATTATTGGCACCTGATAACAATAATGGCAGTTTTGGCAACAGTGCAGTATACTCGATGTGTAATGACATAACAGTAAAGATTGGCGGACAATAACATCATCGTTTTCATCTCATTCACGACACTGACAATAACTCAGACATTCGACCTTCGCTCAGCAATAGCGTTTCGCCAAAATTTCTTTACGCCTAAAAGCCAATAACATAACGGTCATACTGGGACTAGAGTTGGACATGAAGAAGTAGAAACCTTAACGGTTTATAAGAATCATTGTTGAAGTAGTGAACAAGAGAAGAGCGTATGGCTTATTTTGATCGTCTCCACGACTCTACTGCTTCTGCCACGGTGTTGCTTCAATCGCATGTCTTTTAATGAAGGATCGATAATAGTGTAGTAATCGTCATTTGGTGTACATAATAAAAGCTCTCAGCGCTCACTAATCCCTGAGGGATACGCCATGTATTCGACTTCATTAAGTATCGTCAAATGTGATTAAATTCAAATCTGGCCTTTACAATGACTCGCGGGTGACCTAACGATGTATCGAGCCAGTGCTGCTATCCTCCCAGACAAGTTTGGTATCAATTTGCCGACCCCGGAGGGATGGAAGGCTTGTGGGCCATGGATGCAGGGATCGATTCCACGTGTGTTGCAAGGTGCCTCCGACCACTGCACCACGCGCCCCTTAGTGTACACAATGGTGTTAATAGGCTTTCATGAAGATATGATAATGGTGATTAAATTTCTAGTTCTTTATGTTTATGGAGTAAAGAGAGCTTAAAGTTCTCAGGTACACGACAAGAACTTTTGAAGGTGTCAATGTTCTTAACGTTTATTTGTTGAAGCAGACGAAACTAAACAATCCGTAGTGAGAACACGGATACTGAAGAATTAGAAAAACCTGTTCGAAAACAATCTTTGCCCACTTTTCAATAAGATGTTGATATCGTAGGCATCTCTGTAACAGCCGTGTTCGTCAATGGTGTGAATGTTATTTTAATGAAACTGCACGGGTTCTTCCAATGGAACAAATCCTGTTCTGTTCTGTTTTTACTTGCTTGATACTTGAACAACCCGTCCTCACTGGTTGTGCAGGCCGAGCATAATCTCCATTGTTTGGAGATTTGCTGCTCAAGCCGTTGTAGTTCCCTGGAATGCCGAGGGTAGCCTGGCCAAAGTCTTCCCCAGGTCTTCACCACCACAGGCGGCCGCAGCCGTTGTGGATCAGAGGGAGATTTGCCACCATGCGACTTTGTTTCCGGGTTTTTAAACCTTTAAAGCGACGTTTTTATTATAAGACGTAAGAATAGAGCTTCATATCAATTTCGAATGCAGCAGCTTTTGTTTTGTTCAAACAATGTGTTCATTCTTTGATTCCTGCCATCACATAGGATTTTCCACACTCTTCATAGCCGGACTGTATAACCTGTATGAAATAGGTCGATTTATGTCAACAGCTGTATTATCTAAAAGATCGAAGGTATTAGTGAACTACAACATCTTTCTAGCCACTAAGAGATGATGGTAAGCCATAAAGGTTGCCAACTAAGTACCTTATTAACATCTTTGAGTTGCTTGATATTTGCTGTCAACAGCCCGATATCGAAAGCATAGAGAAGCGCACACTCAATGGACGAAATGAAGTGAAAACGCTTTCGAGCAGCGTTATGACGTACTTGGTTCAGTCTAGACCACACCTCCACCGGAGACATTTCACCTTGTGTTTCTAGCTGTAAACGTGGGAAAATTTCGTTTCAGGCCGTAAACGGCTAGTATTTTACTGTGAACGTATTGAGAACTCATCACTCAAACAGTGAGCTTCTCAATCAACTAATTCTACGATTCGTTGCGACGAACATGTCCGCGTCCTTGATCAGTTCTAACTGAACCTAATGTATGCGTCGTTTTCTTGTTCAGCAATCGCGAGGTTTTTAAACAGCATACATTTACTTCCATAGAAAAACAATACAATACAACAGTAGCTGACGTTTCGGCAGTATCGCCTTCTTCAGAGCCTGGAGGGGTATACCGTTATACAATCTACGCGACCTGACCCCGTATGTTCGCATCAATTTCTGATGCGGGACAATGCAGTCATCGACCATATGCGACTATAATCAGCTGTTCTAATCTTCCTCATCGCAAGTCACGTAAAAAGCGGTGAGTTTTTAGAGAAGCTGTTCATCATGTAACAGTCATAGCGTTTTTTGTCTTTTTGTAAGCGTTATTGAAGCGTTTGACCTAGTAGGTTGTATATCAGTATGCCCTTCCAGGCTCTGAAGAAGGCGATAGTGCCGAAACGTTAGCCGCTGTTGTATTGTATTGTGTTTTTCTATGGAAGTAAATGTATGCTATACCTTTTTATTTTCTGCCTATTATAACTTCGCGGCAGGGTGCTAAGCGAAATACAACCACAACGTTGCTGAGATATGTATTCTTTCTTGATAAGCTTGCACGAGGTTGATAAATATATTTATTTTCGGCTAACGTTTCGACGTCTTCGTCTTCCTCAGAGCCGGTGATCCGAGTCGATGGTCCATGCTTGTTGTTTGCCTCGACGTTGCGTCTTCGCCTTCCTGTCGAGCCAGATCTTCCTCAGCGAGCCATCTTCTCGAATGAGGCATCCTCACTCAGTGATGCCCTTTTATACACGATGCTGATGGTAGATATATAATGACAATGTCCGGTGGTAATAACTTGTATTTCTTCCGGACATACATCATTGCGCACATCGTGCAGAGGTCGGTGTGTTATCAGCTAGCACAAAGCGTAGTAATATTTCGAAACCGACCTTCCCTAAACCTCGAAATGTTGCTGAGATATTTGCAAAACTATGGACCGCAGGTGTCTATGGTGGGGAACGAACGCGCTATTGTCCTTTCCGGGGAATAACGCGTTCACCACCACACCATGCGGGTCCTTCGCTTCGCCTGTCTCTCAGCCATTTCTATTGATCTTTGCCACAGCAATCACCCGTCAGCGGAATTGATTTGGGGGGCCCAAATCTGGAGAGAAACCAAAAAAAGATAGACACCTGCGGTCCAGAGTTTTGCAAATATCTCAGCAACGTTGTGGTTAAATGTATGCTGTTTAACAACCTCGTGATTGCTGAAGAAGAAAACGACACATTCATATTCCAATGCCGAGGTTAATAGAAAGTCGATCCTGTGAACCTAATGTATTGTTGGATCATAACGACCGGACTTTTCTACTCTTTCATGAGACAACATAGCGGAATCTCTCCGCATATGTACGGATTTCCGAAGTTAAACATCAATGATTGTCGAACTAGACAGCCCTACGAACACAGCCTTCTACGGGAACCGGAAAAATGAGTGCACACCACACACACCGATTTGCAGAGCATAGCGGTAGCGACGAACGCTGCAGTTCGACTGACGCCGTTACAACTATGCACAAGAATCGGAGGCGTTTCTCTGTTCTCCTCAAAAGTTGATGTAGCCTGAAAAATGCAAGATGGTGTAAAAGTGATCCGTGAAGATTCTGTGGGACTGATTTTGTGTTAATTAATATAAGTCAAACTATTTTTGGATAATTCGAGCTCCTTTCCTTAAGGGCAAGTAGAAATAGGGACAAATATTGTTTATTTATTGAATTATGAGCATATCTACATACTTACCCGTCTTTCATACCTGCTGAATGGTAAATTTTTAAGTATATTGGGCCATTTTGTCATTTCCTATTAAAAATACTTCTTAGCTTTGAGTAAACGATGAGCAGTTCGTGGTTTAATCCAAGAAGGTGAGTTCCTACCAATACACTAACATCAACGTAAACTAAAGCATATGAGGTAGCATGTGGTCGAGGACACATTTGGACTATATATTAACTTGATGGGATCTCCTATTTAATGAAGCAGCTCGGTGTTTTTTCCTTCCAGATAGTCAGGCAATTTACCGACACCGGAAGAATGGTAGGGTTCGTCTGTCGCGATCACAGGATCGAACCTAAGACAATGTCTGTATTGCATCCTCTTACTACTGTGCTATATGTACCCCGAGCTATAAGGCACAGTGCACATCTCATTTAATACCGCATCCCGAGGTAGATTACTGCTTCCATCAGGCCTTCTTTATTGTTAAGTTTCGACAAAGTAAAAAACAACCCAGCCACAATGAAGCAGCAAATCATCGGAGGTCTTTGGCACTATGTACATCTAGTGTAGTGGTTTATTTGATTCTTTTCCACTGCTTTTTGGGATATTAAATCAATCGCTAGGTCAACTAGTCGATGAAAACGATGCCAGCCCGCAAAATTTCTACTCTGAATGCAGTAAATTTCTCTCGGCTCTACAAAGACAAATGGCAACCTACAGATGTTCTAGCATAGCTAGATTGAAGTTTCAGGGTAAATAATACTCCACTATGTCAAGAGAAAAGGAAGGCTATCACGATCCAGAAAGGAATCAACCACTTTGATAGATGACGATTACCACAGAATGAATCTTACAGCTAAGAATTCAACTAATTCGGAGGTGAATTCCTCACATAGGTCTCTCACCGTTTCCGTTGCCCATACTTCAGCGATAAGATTCAATTGCTTACGTGGTTCAATGGGTGTGTCATCCTGGAATAAGAAACTTCCGAGGTAGTCTCTACTATCTTAACCCTTTTATTTACTGCCTTTTTCTTTCTAATGGCAGGGTATGCTGCGAAATATAACTCGTATATAATGCTGAGATATTTGCGAAACTCCGGACCGCATGTGTATGCGGTGGGGAACGAACGTGCGCTATTGTCCTTACCGGGGAGTAGCGCACTTCACCACCACACCATCTGGGTCCTTCGTTTTGCTTGTCTCTCAGCTAGTTCTATTGATCTTTTGCCATCAGCAATCACTCGTTAACGGGATTGATCTGGGGAGCCCAAATCGGCATTGAACGCAGTTAAGCTGAGGCTTAGTTATAATCACAATCTCAATCTTATACGAGTTGTATTTCGCAACATAAGAAAAATGCAGTAAATAAAAGGGTTAAGATTGTGATTATAACTAAGCCTCAGCTTAATTGGGCTCAATGCCGATTTGGGCTTCCCAGATCAATCCCGTTGATGGGTGATTGCTGATGGCAAAAGATCGATAGCACTAGCTGAGAGACAGGCAAAACGAAGGACCCGGATCGTGTGGTGGTGAAGTGCGCTACTCCCCGGTAAGGACGATAGCGCGCGTTCGTTCCTCACCGCATACACCTGCGGTCTGGAGTTTTGCAAATATCTCAGCATTATATAGTAGTCTCTACTGGTTCTAACATATAATAAATCAGAGTAGTTCGGCATGCCGGAGTACGTTCAGACTTTGTGTGAGTTCAAATAGGTACTGTACACTATGGGACAAGACAATAATCGACGAAAGCGTTAAGGAAATGAAGAAATGTGAAATGGTGGCGCTTCATTTCACCAGTACTAAACGTAGAACTCGTTTGGCAGCATTGTTAACAAAGCTCTCCGTCTACATTGGACGAGTTATTATGCTAGTCCTCGTTAAGGAGTTCAGAAGATGTTAAATGGCTGTTCGAGCAATTTAATGATCAACGTTTTACTTTTTATTTTCTGCCTACTACAGTTTTCACGGCAGGGTACTAAGCGAAATACAACCACAATGTTGCTGAAATATTTGCAAAACTCTGGACCACAGGTGGGCTTCCCAGATCAATCCCGTTGACGGGTGATTGCTGATGGCGCTGATCGATAGAACTAGCTGAGAGACAGGCAAATTTAATGATCGTCTACATAAGAACGAACCTTCGTTGGCCTGACAATCACGTACACAGTCCGACTCTTGTCCGACGATGCTCGTCTATTGGTCACTCGTAGTTCGTAATTCACTATGATGCCGTCATGCTCTCTTACACTTGTCGTACGTATTTTGAAACGATTTTTAATCTAAATTAATGAGAACCTGGATTTATGTATTCTTTCTTGATAAGCTTGCACGAGGTTGATAAATATATTTATTTTCGGAGCCGAAAATAAATATATTTATCAACCTCGTGCAAGCTTATCAAGAAAGAATACATATTGATTAGTCACACCGATGTTTAGGTAAGGTCGGTTTCGAAATATAACCTGGATTTATTTTAAAAAAGGGTACACCAACGAAATAGAAAAACGGCCATGATGAAAACTTAAAGAAAAGCCTGCAAAAGTTCGGCACCATGATGGGTGTTCAGTACCGCTAACACCTTCAAAAACGTGCTTTCTCTACAGAACTGATCTAATCAGTTTCTGTACTACCTGGTTGAAAAACCCATATACCGTAACCTCCTCATTAAGTGTTTTGATCAGTTAAGATCGCTAGTACAAATCCTCGTGATTTTTTCCACCATTGTTTCCTTCGGTGATAACGTAATTAAAACTAAAAAGAGTAAAGTAAACGTAAAGTTCAACATTGATCATTCACTGAACGATGCACCATGCATTCGATTTTATTAAACATCATTAGAGGCGATTGAATGCATGTTTGGCCTATGCAATGACTCACGATGGCCTACCGATTTATCGAGTCAATGCTGTTATCCTCCTAGACAAGTCTAGTACCAATTTGCCGACTACAGAAGGATGTAAGGCTTGGTGAGCCTGGGGCGTCGGATCGATTCCGTGTGTATTACAGGGTGCCTCTGAGCACTGCTTTACTATCACTTAATGCTCGAACGGCCCATCCACACTGGTTGTGCGTGTCCCAGCATAATCACCATTTTTCGAAGATTTGCTGGTTAAGCCATTGTGGTTCCCTGGAATCGCGAAGTCAGTCTGGCCAAAGTCTGCTCCGCCCTGCGTTACACGCGCACTTCTTTGATAATGTAATTATAATTCTTAAATCATTGATATCTACAAGTCCCTGTGCTAATATTTAATAGAAGACTGCTAAAATATGATAATGATTTAATTTCTGCTAAAATTTTTGCTATATAACCTGTTATGAATCGCCTGCAACGATTTCCTCACCGAAAGTTGTCAGAAACAGGGTTTTTTTTAAAGGTTTACTAACTACTTGATCTACCTGTGGCCTTACAGCATTACGTACTACTTTCTGCTGTTCTACCTTTGGCAGTAAAAGTTTACCAAGAGCTACCTTAATCTTGTTTCCTTCTTTAAGTGCAAAATAACGTTCAGAGGGTGGAATTTCTTGTGGATCAACCAGACAGACAACGATAGAAATCTTCAACTGCCAAATCATTCGATACCATTCGATAAGGGTGTCGGCCATAGGTGCCTTAATGTGTAACATGGTTTCAACCGATTTATAATACAAGAATGGGAACTTATGTACCAGATAAATCGTACAATAGGAAAATTTCACTCGCTACTGACCCCGTGTTCTCAAGTGCGAAGGGTCGACGATTGGTACAAAGCCTCGCCTTTGATCAGAAGTTGGTGGACAAAAAAGATCGAAAAACTTATTCTATAACACTCTAATGAGATCAGTGATAACAATCTTAGTTTTAACTTATTATTTACTGCCTACTCTTTTTTTAATGGCACGGTATATTGCGAAATATAACTTCATAATATAACAATCTTAGTGTCTTTCCTAGCAACACTAATCGAATCAGACGAGAAGAATTTTTGAACGATGGGGCACAAGGGTTTTTTCAACTTCGGTATTTAAGCTTAAAACAGTCGATAATCGATTAAGTTTTCAAATCCCTCTTGTGTGGCGCGGGACATTGCACATTCAATTGAGCATTCGTGTGAACTGCAAAGGAGATGAAATCACTTGTGCTAGGATGAAATTCCCCTGTGGGGAATTCACTATGTTGGCGTTGATGTAGGTGTTCTCACGATCGAGTTTCTCTTCTTTTTTGCTGTTTGGTTTCAATTCCACGGCATTCTCATCATAGCACACCACAGACGGGCAACGATTTTTCTGAACACTAGAAGATTAAGTAAATCCTCGGTAGTTTCCTTGTATGAAAAATGCTCTCGTAAGCAAATAAATAAATGTTTATGCCATATGATCTGACTCACAGTAGAAAACTGGTTGTATCGTGTAATATGTTTCTCTGTCTTCATTAGCATGTCGTGTTCGGCATACATCTTAAAGACTTTCTTGATATAAGGACATTTATCCAGTAAGGCGATAAATAATAGAATGTGAATTATTGAGGTTTCTCGCCACATTGGATTAACACGACGACTCTGAAGATAGGTAGCACTTGGTCAAGATGCGAGAATTATTGAGCGCGGAAAAGCTTCCATGCGCGTACAGAACAGTGGTAACAGGAGCGGTGCAATTCACACGTGGTTGTTGGTTCGACTCTACGTCCAGAGTTCACCAAGTCTCCATCTCTCCGAAGCTGGCAAATTAATACCATTCTTCGCTTGGAGGACAGTATTACTGACGTGAAGCACCAGTCGGTCATCAGGAGTCGCTGCATAGCTTAAATATGCATTCGCGGTCTTCTAACGGTGCTTCGTGAAGTCGAATGTACGACGTATCCATAGGGGATCGGTCAATTCCGAACGATTTGTCCTTTACAGAAGCTACCAATTGGTTCTTTCGTAACAAAATACCAATTGGTCAACAGCTTTTCGATTTTCTTGTATATAAAGCTCGTCTAAATTGTCTAAACTAAGCTAAATCACCATGGGCCACGATAGTGCGAGAGGGAAGCGAATGATTCGCATAACCACTATAGACGGACCATCCAGCGATCCAACTATCCATATGGTCTAGTTAACAGTGAGAAAATTCGTTTGATTTTCCTATTTCTGGTTCATACCGTTGCTGATTTCATGCGATTTCCATCACCCATCGACATAGGAGAGGGATAAAGCGAGGGGTAGTTTCTCAACAGTAACGCCATTTGTTGGAAAAGTAAGCGGCATGGTAAGGAAATACTTTAAAATAAAAGCTGTAACAAAAGAAGGTAGAGTCAATGATATTTGTTGAATAACAACGAGATTAAGAGGTGGACTTCCGTAATTATTTCACCATTAGGTTATTAATGTGAGAAATTTCGCAAACTTACATGAGACTGCCCACGATAGGAGTGCGTCCTTACGAAATCCGCTAATGTGTCAGCATTAACCTCAGCTTGAGCGCTAACTTTTTCTCGAGATGTTCCTCTCAGTCGACCGGTTGCTCTAACTGCCATTGTCTTCTGTTAACTAACCGATGCAAATCAGTTTTCATAGGGCTGATAGCCTAGAGAAAGTCTTTTTGATAAGAGGTAAATAAAGTTAGGAACAGCTACGTGAATAAATTTGAATCAACCATGACTTCATTTCACGTCATAGCAAAAGTTACGCCGTCTTTGTTTTTACATTGCATAAACGGTGAAAATTACCTCCTAACGGTTTAGCGCCTCATTATGGCTGGGAGGTGTTCCTGAATGCCGGACTGGAAAATGCAACAGAGGATTCATCCTGCCGGCAAGGTTTCCCAATCTGAGAAGGAGTCCGACGTTTCCATCAGGAAGCCTAAGAGTAAACCAATAACAGTATCCATCACCGTTCTGATATCAAAGTCGCATGGTGGCAAATCTCCCTCTGATCCACAAGGACAGCGAATGCCTGTGGTGTTGAAGACCTGGGACAGACTTTAGCAGGGCTTACCTCTGGACTTCAGTGAACCACAATAGCTAAACCAGCAAAACTTCGAAAAATGGAGATTGTGCTGGGGCCCGCACAACTAGTGAGGACGGGCAGTCCAAGTACCCAAGTATCCATGTAAACGCTGAAAATTAGACCGATATTGTTTTTTGTAGACTTTTGTGATAATTCACAAGAAATGGACAAGCTGCTTAGCTATGGTTGCCGCTTCCTTCGCGGTTGATGAAGTTTCCTACATGAGTCCTTTATTACGATCATGATCATTTTAAACTGCAAATGCCAATCTGACCATTCAATTTGATTTAGGTCAGAACTGATATTATTAGAGCAGTTCATAATATTTCATGTAAGTAATAATCGATTATATTAATCTTTTTACATTATTATTAACCTTGCGTTATACTTTTTAATGATGCTGAGATATTTGCAAAACTCCGGACCGCAGGTGTCTGTGGTGGGGAACGAACGCAACATTGTCCTTTTCGGGGAATGACGCGTTCACCACCACACCATGCGGGTCCTTCGTTTCGCCTGTCTCTCAGCTAGTTCTATCGATCTTTTGCCATCAGCAATTACCCGTCAGCTAGAGTTTTGCAAATATCTCAGCATCATTGAAGTTATATTTCGCAATATACCCTACCATTAAAAAAAGCGTAGGTAGTAAATAATAAGTTGAAATTGTGATTATAACTACAGCCTCGGCTTAGCTGGGTTTCTTTGCCGATTTGGGCCCCCAGATCAGTCCGGTGATGGACTCGTTTTGGAATTCCTATACGTACTCGTTAATTCACTGCTGACGACACAGAATCATCAGTGTCCACCGCTTAGTAACAGGAATGTTGTGGTTTCACCAAATTGACGTAGAGGATACATTTTTCACAGAGGCATGAACGTACATTCACAGGAATACGGCTGCTTGTTCTTTGATTAGTTATTTAGAACAATTCGACCTCGCATTTCTCTTCTCATCGCGCTTCGTATACCCGATCGTTTATCTTCTATAGAGGTAAAAACTCCATAAAAGCCCTCAGTGTTGACCAATCCCTCTGGGATGCGCAATGAACTCGACTTCACTAATCATCGTAGGAGGTGATTGAATGCATAACTCTTCTTTACAATTCGCGGTGGTTTACCGGTGCTCCGCGCTGCTATTCTCCCAGACAAGTCTGCTACCAATATCCCGACCGCGGAGGGATGGAAGGCTTGATGAGCGTGGGGTGCGTGGATCAATTTCATGTGTAATTCAGGGCGCCTCCGACCACTGCGCTACGCGCCCCCTCCCCCCCCCTTTAGAAGTGGCTAAGTTAGTGCATGACTTTATCTATAACTAGAAGGCGCGCACGCTTCGTTTCTTATTGACATGCTGAATGCAGGTAGAACTGTGATTTCCATGGATGTTCGGGATATGACGTTGTAATATTAACACCATAGAAGCAGTCATCAATCATCATGGATCGGAGAGAACTTTATGACCTCGTAACTCAGATGCTTTCTGGTCGATGTATCACAAGCCTGCAGCGTTTGCTCAAAACAAACGGGTGCGGCATAGTTGTTGATGGATGACCATCGTCATAAAATGGACATATAAAAATATAATGCAAAATCATTGCAAGCACGCTGTCAGCAGTGAAGACACATAACATCCGTTTGACAAAGACAAATTGCACCAAACACCAACAACATTCTTCTTTCATCTCACCGTTCAATTGACGAGATTACACTAACAATCGCATTACAACATCAAAATACCACCAGGTGTTAAAAAATGCATGACTCGTTCAGGTTTCGTCATTTATTGGCAAGAGGTTTTAACTGTGAAAAAACGATGATCAATGCTTTCCTAGATATTTTGGCTAAAGCGACGGTGTAATGAAACTTCATTCGACTAAAGTTTAGACACCTCTGCTCTTTTCAGAGCCACGATGATGCGAGTCTATGGTACACAATAAAACAAATCATACTCCATCTAATCGTAGATTTTCACCATTTCTTTTAGAAAACTGGCCGAAGCTGAACTTCAACGCGCTGCGAATGTGAAAGGCGATTATGGATGGAATGTGGCAACAACTATTAAAACCGACGAATATTGGAAATACCATCAAAACGGACGGTTTTTTCCACTCATTGGCCATACTATCGAAGAGTTGAAATCATATCAAGACCAAGCCGAAAAGACACTCGATGTTCAGCTTCATGATGATGAGTTTCTGATAGATCTTCCACTCACGAAAAGTCATGCAAGTGCAAAAGGTTTCCCCTCCCAAAAGGTTCCGAGGTTAGTTTATCTCCGTTTCTCATGAGGTTTTTGTTTTGCTTATTAGCAAAATGCTAATAAACTGAGCTATCTCGAGCTGATCAGCCACTTGGTCTTCTTTTTATTTCACACAGCCCGTTTTGCCCATCTACTGTGCGGATGCCAGCACTTCACGTAGTCGATTCGTTTGCTCGCATCTATCATTTACAATGATCATCGAACTATTCGCGCGTGGGTTTGGCTGCTGCTTGAGGATTCCTCTTTAGTTATGAAGGTCATTGAATACAGTCGGTGGACTGGTCGAGTCGACTTTTGGTAAAATGCTAATATAGCAAGACTAGTGCGTGCTCACTGAGGTTCCAGTGAACAAATTTTTGCACGCAACTCTAGTGCCAATCTACTGACACCGAGGACGTGAAAGACCTGGTGTATCCGGCACGTGATCGAACCATGACCTTGCTTGTGATGATCGGCATCGCTACCACGACACAATTTCCCCATCCATCTCTGGTGCTATGTTCAGGTTCTCTCCTTGCTTTACCGAACTGACTTATATGCTCGTCTGATTACCGTCTGATTGTGTGGTTGTTTGTAGTGACTGTCGTCTCTATGGAAATCCGTCCAAAAATCTGCTATCAAGTGATTGAAAATTAAGAATTATGCAGGGGAGGTATCTAGCCCTCTGCTACTGTACTTTGTAATGCACACGTGGCAATGATTTGATCCCATGCGTGGCCAAACCGATCCATCACCTTCGTCGGAAAATTGATATCAAACTTGTCTAGGATAATAATAATAAAACCACTGACTTGATTCATTTGTAGAAAACCACAAGTCATTTGTATTGGCTAAGTGTGAACTCAATCATCTTCACGATGCAACGAATGAAGTCAAATGTATAGCTTATCCCCAAAGAATAAATTAGTGTTGAATACTCTTCGCTTTTACGCTCTAAAAGGGTAAAAGATAAAGCGTTTGGTTTTGATCAATCTCTGGGAGATGTGCAATGTTCTGCGGTAGCATTTCGAAACCGACTTTCCTTGAACCTCGGTATCACTAATCAATATGTATTCGTTCTTTGATGAGCTTACACGAGGTTGATCCTTGTTAACAAGCGAGGACCATCGACTCTGATCATCGGCTCTGAGGAAGACGAAGACGTCGAAACGTTAGCCGAAAATAAACATCATTATCAACCTCGTGTAAGCTCATCAAAGAACGAATACATATTGCTTTGCGGTAGAGTACAATAGCAGTGACAACGGTCATCACGAGCACGGTGCTAACTCCATCCCGGTCCGGGCTTACCATGCCGCTCATCCCTCTGCAGTAGGGAAATTGGTGCTGGACTTTTCAGGGAAAAAAATCACTCTCTGCAATACATGAAAACTGTAGCCCGGCTCTCTCATAACTTCAGTGAGAATCAACTCGAGCAGCATATTTCTACGTTAAAGATGAAATTAAAATTCTTAATCAGCAGTCGAAACCACACGTAAAATTGAAAGGCCCTAGTGAATGGTGCGAGGAAACGAATCGAATGTGAGATGTGCTGTCATCCGCAAGCTAGGTGTGAAGCGAGTCGTATAAGATAGAAAAAGCAATAACTTGCGATGGTCGACTGATGTAACAAGCCAGGGCTGTTATTCGTTCGCACATTTCTGGCAATTTCCATTCCCCGAAGAAATGAAAGGTTTGGTGAACCCCGTTTCCGAGACCGAGCGAACGGCTACATGATGGTCACCTCTAACCACTGCCATAAGCGTGCTTTTACACTCCATAACCAGAAAAGTTAAACTCGAAGAGCATTCACGAAAATTCTGACAATGTTGGCTTCATAGGAGCGATCAAAGGCTAGGAATTAGTTACCTTACTAGAATCCATTTATTGTGAATTACTTTTTGTATTGAGTAAGAAGCAGGTAAATTACACATTAAATGTTTTATCATATTCCTTATCATTTTTTAGAGTCCGTGATAGTGATGAGGTGGACTTCCTGGTCTACCCGAATGGCCTACCGTGGACATGGTTGGATCATTCAAAATGTATTGATAAATGGTAATATTTGTAATCCATAGCTTCGCTATTATTAAAATCGTTCTTTAAATGAATCAATTTCTTCGGAAAGATGAAAAATGATATTCTATCCTAGAGTTAGGTAACTGCTTGGCAGTTCCGTTCACACAAATCATTTGTGACGCTTATCATTCTTACAATAGATAGAGAAAAAAATTTACTTTTATCCAAATACGTTTCAACTCCTCAAGTGTTCTATTTATCAGCAGCTTGTGAAGAAGCAGCTTCGGTCTCTAAGTCTTAACAGTGTTGGTAATTCAGAATATTCTCTACGAACAGAGGCAGCATCGCACTGAAAGGCATAAGAAACTACCATATGAAACACTTTTCTCGATTCATCCAGGAAAGAAGGACGTACTAGTCAATCCTAAGCTTAATAATGGATCGGTTTTAAGATAGATTTTCTCGTTCTTCAAGCAGACTACCAATGTTCAGTATCAACATGTTCACTCCTTTATCGATGTCTTCAAATCTACCGATTCCGAGCTCCACACACCACCAGAGTTCGGGTATTCGTCATCTTTGTTTAAATAGCTATTTATAAATGAATAACATTGCATCTTCAGTAAACACTTCTACACCGTTCTCTATAAATGTTTGTGAAATAAGGCATGACAACATATTTTCCGCTAATCTCTCAATGCTTCTAATTTCCACCGTTAATGGCATGAAGACACGAATTCCTCACTTCTGTGAGGTATTCAGATGCACACTGGAAGCTTGTAAGCACATTCCTTTCATAGACGGGGTATGCTATTTCAGACAAACTAGAATAACCTCCGATTATCCTCTCATTTACCTAATCGCTGCGGAATGGTGGCCGAAAACCGCGATACAGTCTACGTGCTAACAGAACATCCAAATATACATGCTTAGTCATGGCAACATAAACACGGAAAAAAGGTGTTAAACGGACTCGAAGACAAAAAGCCGACGAATTGGAATGGAATAGTCCAGGAATATACGAATTGCTGTCTTCCAGAGATACTTTGCTAGTTCGATTCTGGTAGTCGTTGACACAGAAACTCTACGAATCGTTAATGTAGTGCAGAACTGCCAGTGCCTCCCAGGTGCAACTTGGTACCGTCTTTTCGCTCTCAGTAGTGTCACAAGCATGGAGGGCCTGCTCAAAAACATTGTCTTCATAATCTCAACCGTTTTATTTGGTGCCTACTCTTTTTGATGGCAGGGCATATTGCGAAATATAACTTCAATGATGCTGAAATATTTAGAAAACTCTGGACCGCAAGTGTCTGCGGTGTGGAATGAACGCGCTATTGTCCTATTGTCCTTTCCGGGGAGTAACGCGTTCACCACCACACCATGCGGGATTTGGGCTCATTAGATCAATCCCGTTAATGGATGATTGCTGATGGCGATCGAACGATAGATGGCGATGGTCGATAGAACTAGCTGAGAGGCAGTCAAAACGAAGGACATATAGCGCGTTCGTTCCCCACCGCGTAGACACCTACGGTCTGGAGTTTTGCAAATATCTCAGCATCATTGAAATTGTTTTCATAGTTCATAGCGACATAGTTTTCAAAGCGCGTCCATTCGTTCATTGTTATAAGATAAACAAAGGATAAAGTTCTCGGCGTTGATCAATCCCTGATGGATGCGCCATGCGCCCGGCTTCATTAAGCATCGTTTAGAGGTGATTGAATACACGTCTGGCCTTTACAATGACTCGCAGTGGCCTGTGGATGTTTCGAGCCAGTGCTGCTGTCCTCCCAGACAAGTCTGGTTCCAACTTGCTGACTCCGGAGGGATGCAAAGCTTGGTGGGCCATGGGTGCTGGGATCGATTCCACGTGTGTGTTGCAGAGAGCCTCCGACCACTGCGCCACACGCTCCCTTTTTTGTTATGAGATAGATATATGGATATACAATGTAGAATCACTGTAAATACTACGTCGTCACCACGGAAGATACACAGCATGTGTTTCGGGAAGACAAATTACACCAACTACCAACATCATTCTCCTTTCATCTTGTGGCTCCAACAATGAGATTACACTAACTATCACGTCACACCAACATAACACTAGTCGGCAAGACGGCCAGGTCGATCTCAGCAAACGCATGATCCTTTCAGATTTTTAAGAAGATTTAAGATTTTTCAAGATTAAAAATTTAAGATAAAAAGATTAACAATTATTTGCTATATCTTACCAAAAAGTGACCGGACATATTTTTCATTTCCTTACAAATAGCAATGATGTATTGTATTTTTTCGGGTTTTGAGAATAAAACTTGTTCGGTTAACGTTTTTTCCGCGAAAGGTGCTATTCTACACCTGCCTGTAAAATATTATCACAGCTCATTTTCAAAACATCTGTTAGGGAAAAACTTCGGGAGATGTACCACTAGACGGGATATAAGAATCGCTGACTGTTTGTGAAACCACTAGTGCTTTCCTTCTTGTTCATCTACTCCCTAACATATACTTTTTCATCCTCAGCTGTAGATGATCATCGTCCTACATTATCGTCGCTCTGAACCTACTCTTCAACTTTCACGTAACCGTGGAAAATTCGCCTACTTATTAATGTTTTCAACGACTGCGTAAAGATTTGGTATAACCTTAAAATTTCTTTTCATATGAAAATCTTGACAATCATCATCCAGCTTTATGTTTTCGTTCTCTTTTCTTCGCTTTTAAAGCATGTATGAAGGACCAGTGAGTTGTACTATTTTGTACTTGGATTCGCATTTGAAAGATTGAAGGTCTATTGCCTTTTTATCTCACCGAACGAGAATTTTGGTCTGTCGTGGTTTTCTATAGAATTCAAAGTGATCCCACTAAGGTGTTCCCTGCTCTTCAAACAGGCAGTCGCCGGACACGAAAGATTCCACGATGAAAAGCGCTCTTTTCTTTTTCTGCGTGGAAGGCGGAACGAAGGACCTGCATGGTGTGGTGGTGATCGCGCTAGTCCCTGGAAAGGGCAACGTGTTCGATCCCCGCAGTAGGCACCTGCATTCCGGAGTTTTGCAAATATCTGAGCATCACTGTGGTTTCCCTTTTTGTTTTCTGATTTCGAAATAAATCAAATCTGTATAAAAACTTTGGAAAAGAAACGCTGAAAACTTTTGTACAGAACGAGCAGTATGCCCCATAAGTCAAGCACCTCACTATCCCGTATCAACCAATGTGAAAGTACAACGTGAACAACAAATGCTCACTGATCTTCTTCTCTGAGATTGTGCATCGCATTATTACAAGCAGACGCCTAAATCGGGATATATTCTTGCTTCAGATTTACGTCACCAATCAATATCGATCAGAGCAAGTTACTTTCCTGATCGCGTTGGCGTTTATTCGCTGTTTTCAGTTTTGTGTTACCATAGGAGATCGTGTTCGAATTACAATTATTAACTGTCCGAAGAATTCTGGTACAGGGTAGTTTCAGGTCTTAAAATTCTCTGAGAAATTTTTCATCTACCTGCCAGTGCTCATCGACAAGAACCCGAGCACGTTGACCAGGTTCTTGTCCGATCGCCATGTGGTGGTCGTCGGTAATGGTGTTGACCATCGTCGTACGGCCGTCGTGGACTGCACTTGACACCGCCGCCGTCATCTCCATTCAGAACGAACTCACAAAGCACTCCACCGAATTGGAAATGCTTGTCGACGTGGGTGATATTCAAACTGGCGCCAATAATTTTTCAAGTCTTGCACAGTTATTAGTGTAATCTGTATTATCGTAATATAAAAATTAGATGACAAACGTGAGAGAGGTGGAAAATCTCATTTTTTATGACAGTCCTATTCGCCTATTTCCATTTTCATTGCATTTGTACATCTACTGAGTGATGAAGCTCCTCCAAACGAATGCTACTGCTTTTGAAAAATTCCATTCCGAGAAAGAATGTGCAATTTAAAACGATATTCATAATTTTCATGAAGAGGGTTTTAATGGTCGGGAATGAGCATTAGGGATCGACAGTATGTAGGAAATTTAAAGTATTAAAATCGAATCCTTGCACTTACTAAACCTTAGGTCCTAAAATTCTCTAACAGTAAAAGTCAGTAAATTATTCAGCATGTGAAACAGCTGAACGCTCGAGTAACTGAAATGGGCCGCCCTGGACCACCAGGAAACGATGGATTGCCAGGATTTCCAGGTCCCAAAGGTCAGAAAGGAGAAAGCGGAACCGATGGTGAGTGAGGTGTTATTCGACAATATGACTTGCTGGTCAAACATGATAAGCATGAGCACGACCAAAAAATGCAAAACTGTCATCTCACTTAATCTCTGAATTTGCTAGGAATACCGGGTAAGTCTGGAGTACAAGGCATTCCGGGTATGAAGGGCGATATGGGTCCAATCGGTGCAACAGGTATGAAGGGTGACAAAGGCAGTATGGTGAGCGTTTTTTCTTAAAGCAACGATAAGTAATGTGAAGTGGCGTAAATCTCTCGCTCCCATTCATTCAATTAGTCATCGCCTCGAAAAGACGACGTCATAAAATGTGCCGACCAATCACAGAACGCTCCCAATTGCTCCTCTCATTATTAAGACTTGCATACTTCCCATCATAGCTTTTTGCATTCTCTAAAAATGCTTAACCACTGAATATCGAGTAACCCATACTTTTCGAAAAAAGCCAAACATTTTTGAAAGGTAATGGTTACTTATTAGCTGATGCTTTAAGCCGGTAAATTCTTCCCAAGTAACACATTTTTCTTCGACTACTAAATTTTCTTGTAATCGGCAAACAAGATACATTTGGGAAAAGAACTAGCCAATTTTGGCCATGGGTTAAATGGAAAACAAAGCTGCAGGATACTTTTTATAGTATCATATTTACTTTATTTTTATCATACCTTCTCATAATCGGTCATCTTGCATTCTTACTGCCATCGCTTTTAGAAATTTTATCCCTTTGCAACCACATTCCTTCGAATAATTTTCGTTAACAATATAAATTTACAGAGATGATCCGTTAAAATGTTAATGCTTTTTGATACCGACGGCATATTAAGGGATTCCCGGGACAAAAAGGTGAACAAGGAGCTAATGGTATTCCTGGTCTGAAAGGTGACACAGGAAACCCTGGAAAGGTTAATTAATTTGTTTGTGTTTAATTTAGTTAATTCTAGTTTAATGTTTAATTCGTAACTAATTGATTCAATTAATTGAATTGTTAATCAAGTTCATTGAGAGTTGTGGCAAGAAAACCGATAGTTTTTTTTTCTTTATAAAAACTTTGACAACAGAGCGCTTTTTTCCTATTTCACTGTAACCAATTTGTACTTGAGATTGGTGAACCCGGTTCTCGTGGACTTCCAGGTCTTAAAGGCGAAAAAGGCCAGGAAGGTTTTCCGGGTAAGGACGGCATACCCGGACCACCTGGATGGCCTGGTGTCAAAGGAGAAGATGGATTGAATGGACGTCCAGGTAAGATTACTGAAATAATGTTCGTAAAAGTAGATATAACCATTATATTTAATTATTAAGCAAAATATTACTTATCGAAGCGACTTCATACAGCGTATGAGGTACGTGTTTTTAAGGATCGCCTGGTTTTCCCGGCAAAAAAGGAGAACCCGGCACACCTGGAGTGCCAGGCAGTCCAGGGTCAATCGGAGAACGTGGTATGCCTGGAGCCCCAGGACCACAAGGTATGATGGGACCGATTGGACCGCCTGGAAAAATAGGGTTGCCCGGGCCGAAGGGTCCAGAGGTCAGAATACTTTTATTTTTCGTCGGTTGTTTATATGTTGAAGGAAGGATAAAACTCTCGGCGTTGATCAATCCCTCAGGGTTACGCCATACATCGTCTTAACTAACCATTGTTGGAGGTGACTGAATGCACCTCGACCTACACAATGACTAGCGGTGGCCTATCGATGTATCGAGCCAGTGCTACTGCCCTGTCAGACTGGTACCAATTTACCGTCCTTTACCGTCCCCCAGAGAGATGGAAAGCTTGGTGGGCCAGGGTGCGGGTATCGATCCCACGTGTGTTGCACGGCGCCTCCGACCACCGCGCCACACGCACCCTTTGATTATATGTTATGAACAAAAAATTCATACGATTTTTTATGTAATCGTATTCGTCAAAGAGTTTTGTTGATGATCCTTATGAGCGTCGTTGAATACTTGTGAAGAAGACTCTTCCAAAAATCTCGGCAAAGCAGTATTAGGGCGATGCCTGATCTTCATCAAAGCGGATCACCAGGTTATGTGGATGAGTCAGAGCTCTTGCTAAGCAAATCTGGTAGCAGTTTCCCTACTACGCAAGAGTGGAAGGCCTGAATACCCTAGTGAATAGTTTATTAAATACCTCCTAAAATGCTTTGATAATCATTATCATGCTTCGTCGATAGGCTTAATAAAATTGCACTACAGAGTAGGATCACTTCACTCGAACAGTTCCATACCTCACTGTAGCCTACCCGACGCGGCAAGGAAGAGTCACTTTGAAAAATTTACGGCTGTGCACAATCGACCTAATTATCGCGGCTACGAAAAAAGCGAATGCGCAGAAACGTCAGCCAAATACAGTCCTAGATAAACCTCTTCACAGCTTACCAATGAAAAGAGGAAGGCTCCGATTTTCCATCTTGAGGCTAAATGAAAGCAAACTTACAGAAACCTTAGGATCGGCACTGAGTGTTTTCAGATCATTACCTCACCTTCTTCTATGTTCTAAACGCACTTGCAATGCAATAGCTTCTGTCATTGCGCTTTCCAAGCTTTTAACAAGTCGTTTGTGTCTAGAATGACCACATTTAGCTCTGTCATAAGATGATTTCAAGTTGGTAACGAGGTTACGTAGCGTGTTTTCAGTGTCGGCTAATCATCCCCAAGGAGTGACGTCCGAAAGCTTTCGATTGCATAACTTGGCAGAAAGGCATGTACACCTTCGATAAATATTCCTCATGCCCATTCCAATAAAAACTATTAAGCATACCAATGATCCTGGACAAATCTTGGAAATAACAGCCATGGGTTTTTGTATCCTATCGCGGAAAAGAAACCATTGAAGCAGCGGAGCAGTCGCAAAAGACTTATGACATACTTTTTAAAAATTTTTTAAATTTTGGACCAAAGGCCTATTACTCCTAAGGGTCTTTAAAGTTGTTAATACGTTTTAAGTTCGTCTTTTCAGGGTCTCCCAGGTCTACCAGGTCAAAAAGGCGAGACGGGTAAAGATGGGCTTCCTGGTCTACCTGGTATGATTGCTGTCCCTTTGGATTCCTTAATGACTAAATTCTGCAATCCAAATCTTTTGCTATTGGTATTACTCACCAGAATTTATTAAATTTTTATAGGCTGGTTGGTCAGTGATAAAGGATATTGTATTTTGGCGCTGGGTAATTGTCCACCATCGTTCACACAGATAACAGCGTATCAGGTAGGGTAAAGTTTCTTTTGTCATAGTTGTGAGGCACGGAAACTAGGAGAATTTTCCCTCATAGTGGCAGGGAAATCTTCTAAGGGTACTTCTATAAGATTAGCACGCTATCAAATTTGTTGGCAGATGAATTTTCGGGAGAATGCTACTTGAATTGTTTTTTTTTTATTTATGGATAAGATGTGGACCGGCGGAGACAGTGGATTTTTGGAGGCATTAGAGGTTTACAACTAATTAGAAGGCAACGAAGTACTGCCTGTTTAAGACGAAGACAGCCAAACAGCTGCTGCAGAAAAATGGGGGTGTCATCGTCATTTGCGCCGACCCGTCAGTCAGACGCATATGGGCGGTTCTACTTTTGCAGCTAGTTCTATCTCCAACCACTTGATCCTTGATTCAGGCACACGTCGATAACTATCGATTCGGCGAATATTCATTGGTGAAATCATCCGGAAATGGTGCTGCAGAAGAGCACTTCGCCTTAAAAGTACACGCATGCTGTAGATAGAAACAGTTTTCAGTGCTGAAATATTTTGTATTGATTGCTTTGTCCGCATGCAAACAAAGTATCAATAAATAGCTGCCTTCAGACAACTCTGAAACGGATCAATAAGTGAAAATAAAAACTAACGATTTGAATACAGTTTATTATTTATGTATGCAGAACACAACACATTCAAACGCCACTGAAGAAATGCGATCGCAATTGAATCACTAGCGAGAGTTCGCTTCCACACAGATCAGAAATTTTTTATATTAAAATAACCTTTCTGAAGGGCAACAAATATGGAGAACAAGGAATCATAAGGTGGGAAAAATCTATGCTTGCACTTTCAATGCATGGTATTAGTGAATGATCACAAAGTCAACAGCAAGACCAAGCTTGGTTTTGTATGCCGGCTCATAAATGAATTAGAAAGGTTGAGATTGTCTTGCATCGAGACCATAAAGTTTAAAGGACTGGGGAGCACTTCTAGAAGCAATAAATGGCACCCACTGAGAAGAATAGGAAACGGGAACGAAAACGAATTATTAGAGCAAGAAAAGCCAAAAATCAGACAGGTTGCATTTTCGGTACCAACAAGAACACAGACATGGACGAATACCATATCTTTTTTCAACCGTCATATGAACTACAGAAGCAACCAAACCTTTAGTGCACTCAAAAATCGATAGATATTTATTGTATATAGGTCCCATGATCGCTATTCATTGAAAGCTCTGTAGATTGTTGCTTCGAAACCACAGTCTGCGGTAATGACGACCTGAAACTTTGATTTTCTAAACTATCAGAATAAAAGTTGTTCTTATCTATAATTAAGGAAATGGCGTTATGTTTTGAAGATTTAGACGACCAGAGGTTTCCCAACCACTGTGTATATTATGGTACAATTTCCGTTCAACTGATATTTCTTGGTTTGGCAACCTACATTCTCTGGTGTTCCCAGTTAGTTCCAAGATAGATACCACTGAAAACAACCCAAGTAATCTCATCAGGAGGTCGGATTTTTCATCCGATTCATAGCAACCTAATAGCTTTGCAGAACTACGGCATCCTTATAAAAGTTTTCCACTCGAATTCACTTTTTAACATTATGAAAAACGTAACGATTAATATCACTTTTGCTTCGTTTCTATGCCATCAGTTGAACAATTACTATTCAATAGACGCCTTGTTTTGCCTTCCTCTCAGCATGACTTTTACTGGGTATAATCGATAATTTCAGCCCAACAACGGGAGTAATCCGGGAACCCCAAATCGAAATTGAACCTTGTCAAGGCTTAGCAAGGGAGGCGGTTGGTGTGGTGGATAGCACGCATACATCAAGTAAAGATAACTGTTGGTTCAAAGCCTTTCTTAAGTTCTTGGTTTTACCCATATCTCAGCATCCTTGTGGTTGTACTTCATATCCTACTTTGTCATAAAAAAGCTAAAGGCAACAGGTAAAAGGTTAAAAATGGTCGCTCACGCTTTCAATTCTAACCGAAATAATTTCGTAAAGAAAAACAACAGAGTTGGTTTACCTTTTGGAGAGGCAGAAAATTTATAGCCACATCAATGATCAAATGATTTTCCTCTAAGGACAAAAAAGATTACCATAAATCGTGCAAATTATTGAATGGTTGGTTGGCTACCGGACAATCTCGCATCATTGGTGATCTCTCGGAGGTACTTTATTTTTAAATATGGAATTTTGAGCAAAAAAGAGAAAAACAAAAAATACGAAAGTGAGCAGCAATTTGAGAGAACTGACCGTCTTTGATAGCGCACACGATTGTAATACCCGTCCCGAACTGATGTAAAAATAGCGCCGATCAATTGACTCCATGCCAAAAGTGTCTCGCATCTAAAGTGAAAAACTATTGGTACCGTATTTGCGTTAATAAAGACTATACTAAGCAGATATAATACTTATAAGAGTGTAGAGTCTGTAGTAGGAAAGTAAAACTGCTTAATGAAAAAGGAGCACAAGCATCGGTACGAGAGGTGCAAATCGCTAAGTGTAAATGATGTTCTCTCTGCGTATCATCGATGTTCACAGCAAATATGGCAAATCTTTGATTGTTTACATAATACAGATAATGTTCTTTATTCTTTCTTACGTTTATTATTTACATAGACGGAAAGCGCGTGTAGCGCAATGGTGGTGAGAGGTGCCCTGCAATACCCTTGGGCTCAGTCCCACACTCCAAGCTCAGCAAAACTTCTACCCCTCCGGGGTCGGCAGCAAATTGGGACCACACATATATGGGAGAATATCAGTACTGACTAAAAACATCAAAAGGCCACCACAAGGCAATGTATAGGTCAGATATGCATTCAAAAGCCTCAAACGATGCTCCATTAAGGTGAGTATATGGGGCACCAACTAGGGTTTTATCACCGCTGAAAACTTTATCCTTTATCCTTTATACTGTCATCATGCACGTGTATTAATCTCGCTATGCTGTTGTAATCGGGCGAATGTTGCTCACACAGTGGTTTAGTTATCCAAACTTGATGGCCGGCGTAGGAACAGTTTTGTAGAGCTAGATGTCAGAGCGATATTTCTAATTTCAAAACACATACATACACACACAAACACATGCAGACATACATACGCACACACACACCCTGACACATACAAACCGACACCCGACACATACACAGCGACACACACACACACACGCCACACACACACACATCTATGCATACCCAATAGTTGATAGGACAGTTTAGAAAAGAAAATGTGTGACCTAAGTTATGGAAGGCAGACATTTCAAGGTATCGTGGTTGATAACTTATAATTCTACCAACCGTTTTTCCACCGGTCATGAGAACCTTGTGTCATAGATGGAGCCAGTTGTTGATCGCCCTGCTACTTATGCAACTTTGCACCCTCGCTCAAGGATTGCTTAGGAAAGCCACCGATATTGATTGATTCTATTGGCTAAAAGTATCTCGCCAAACAGTACCTCTTATGTGCGCCTCCGTCAAGTTTGACGCATTCTGCAATTGCGGCATCAGCAAGGGATGTGAAATAGTCAGGTCTGAAGCCGACTCTACATAATGCTGCATACGTTTCGCCTAGAGTTCGTGCATGTTGTTGAACCTTAACGTAAACCGTGCACAAATCATCCTTTCAACAACAAAAAATGGAAAATTGCAAGTAAAAAAACACGAATTGCCGTACCAATTCGGGCCGTTCGATATTCTCCACTGAATGAGCGATAAGTGTGTAGAACTGCTTTCCCATGAGCTCAATCTGTTGTTCAGTGAGACGGTTCATGAATGTACGCATTTCAGGGCGATTACTAGTGGCACGTTTCAGGATTGCTTCACCGATTGTCGGTCTAAATACGTAACGGCTACTAAATCAGCAGCCAGCTTTTCTTTCCGTTTGCAAATTTACCTTAATTGGTCGTTTATGTACAAAAATAGAATAGAATGAAATAAAAATTGCAGTGGAACACCTGCAAATAACGAAATCTCGGACGCAATTTCAAGGGTCAATGCAGTGGACCAGTTATCACGCGATTTCAAATAGCCTAATGATAAAAATGGCGATTCGGTGAACTGTTTACAGTTTATTAATGTTACCAATAGAGAGTGAAAACTCGTCCAACGTAAACCGTTCACACTTTATGTTAGGTTATTACTATTATTTACATTATTATAATAGTTGAATGAAGGGGCGGGTGACGCAGTGGCTTCTGACGCCATTTTCCACGAGCACTACGCTGGCAGGACACAGCTCCCGACTCAATAAGCCTCTTATCCCGCCGAAATCGGGAAATTGGTAGCAGACTCGTCTGGGAAAAGTCCACTCTCTGGAACGCAAGTGGGGACGCTGTAGTCGTCCTATCTCAAAACTTCTGGTTGAATGACTCGACTAGCATTCAACGACATTCATGACGAAGGAAAAATCCTCAAGAAGCAGTCGAACTCACGAACGAAAATTTTAAGACGTTTGTGGATGATGATTTCGAGGAAACGAATCGAATGCAAGAAGTACAGGGATCCGCACAAGAGATGTGAAAGATGGGTCAGGCTAAAAAGTAGTTGAGTGCTAATACAACTAATCTCATCTATAACTAATAACCTCCAATCGTTGAAAAAAATGTTCTTCAGTTTTCATCGTTTTCTAACATCTTCTTCTCTAACGATATTATCTATAGAGGACTGTTATGCTATATCACTTTAAATGGTATTTTGATTGGTTTCATTTCCATCTTCCCAAATTTGTATTCATCACATCGATTTGGTCATTTTTCGGAAAAAAATTACTTAATTAAAATTTGGTTTATATATATCCTAACCTCATCGAATATGTAATTGTTGTGTTTGCTATCGAATTCACATGGTAATGCAGATCGAATAGACATTACAAGACAGCAAAGATTTGGTGGTAATGTGAGGTTACATTGGTGAAGCTCTAACGCACTGCAAGAAGATGGAGACCATTAAAATTCAAAAATGTTTGTTTTTATTCCTAATCGATAAGTGATTAGAATATGACTTCTGTAGGGATAGGAAAACGAGCATAAAGGTTATTTTGCAGTGCTCGTGTTGAAAAAACCGTGCACCGCTCCTCTTACGCTGCCTACGCGGGACGAGTTGTGCCGTCGAAAGGAATTGCTTCATTCTTAAGTTTAACCTGCCCAAAGAATTCTTTTAATTTATACATTATAGCCTACCGACGCAGTTTGCACAATATGATGGAAAAAATTTATATTTCAAATATATAATGGTGCTAAAACCTTAAGTGATTTTTTAGGCAAAATCCAATTGATTTACTTACACTTGGAATATCAGTCGTACAAGTGCACTTACCTGGCCGCTTTGAAGCATTGTTGTATTCGTAGCCGATTCAGTGATGGAACTAAACCAGTCGATGTTTTCCGTCCACCTCCGCCATTCGTTACTGTGCTTGTAGAGGAAACATCCATTGTTTTAAGTTCAGGTTCACTGGATTTTGTCGTCAGGTCCATTGCCTATCAATTATTTACCGTTAGAATTCAATTTATTTCTATTTGTTTGTACCTTCTAATTACAACCTGAATGAGAGATGTGTGCGTGTGTGTTTGTGTTTATATATATATATATATATATATATATATATATATATATATATATATACGTGTATGTGTGTGCTCACGAGTCTCACAAGGAAAATCCACTTGGCCAGCATTCTACCATAAAAAAACGAAATCCTCAAGCTGCAGCCCCTTGTGAACGATGAATACTAAGAGAAGCAATCTAAAGGAAGAAGTACTGGAATCCGCACAGTAGATGCGGCGATGGATCATGTAAAATGTAAAATGCAAATAGGACGACATAACCTGTGTAAGACTATTACTAGAGGCCTGCCTGCGATACACCTGGTCGTTGATACGGTCAAATCCACAGCACAAACAAATCAGCTATTCCGCCAAGGTCAGCAAATAGGTACCACACTTAATTACGACAATAAAAACACTGCGTTGGCAAACGCTGGATCACAAAAGTCAAGTATGTAGCAAAAAATGCGTTCAGTCACCTTATCACCTATTATGCTTAACGAAGTTGAATGCATACAGAAAAGATTGGTCCACATTGAACACTTAATCCTAAAATATTAAGCTTGCACGAGTTCGACAAGTGGGTCTATTTATTTATCTGGTTATTTTTTTTAGATTTTGTGTGATACCAATCACCCTGTATAAAGGAGCATCGTCGAGTGAGATTGCCTTATTTGAACGGTTTCCACTGAAGAAGATCCGCCCCAAACCCTGGACATCGACTCGGATCATTGGCTTTCATGAACACAAAGAAGTCGGAACGTTAACCAAATAAAACTTATTCATCAATAAGCAAATGAAACCTATCAAATAAAGCCTCGTGTGAGTTCAACAATTTAAACACATGTTGATTTGTCATACCGAGATTAAAGAAAAGTCTGTCTTTAGAATATTACTGCTTTATCAGGGGCGTGTGTGACGAAGTGGTCGCAGGCGTTCTCCAAGACACACTTGGGATCGATCACCGCGCCCGTGGCCCACCATGCCGTCCATCCCTCCGGGATGGCCAAATTGGTACCAGGCTTATTTAGGAGGATAGCAGCACTGGCTCGATATATCAGTAGGCAGCCGTGAGTCATTGTAAAGGCCAGATGTGCATTCAATCACCTCCAAACGATGCTTAATAAAGTCAAATGCATGGCGCATCCCTGAGGGATTGACCAACGTCGAGAGATTGTTAGCTTTTTTAATCACGTTATTCTTTATTCCTTTAACAGGATGATTGTGAAAAACTGACTTTCATTTTGCCTCGGGATGGATATCCAGTAGCCTTTTGTTCTGTTCATAAATTTTCACCAAGTTGTGAAACTATTATCCTCCAAAAAGTTGTACTCAGAGCATTAAGCCTCCACATTTTTATAAATTCTTACACTCTTTTAGATTATTAAGCTTGCTCTGGAAAAGACAAAAGTGTTGATACATCTTGAAGTAACTCCGACGACCGACTTTCTATTAGCCTCGGCATTGATCAAGTATTTCTTCGCATTTTTGTTGAGCAAACGCTAGGTGTTATTATTCTTTATTCACGAATAAGCTGAAGTTTCGGCGGATTTCACCTTCCTCAGAGCCTCTTTCTATGAGGTTTCCACTAAGTATGTCACGTAGAGACCAACCGCACAGAAATCACATGGAAGCATAATGTGGCACACACGGCTCTGAGGAAGGCGAAATCCGCCGAAACGTCAGCTTATTCGTGAATAAAGAATAATAACACCTCGCGTTTGCTCAACAAAAATACGAAAAACAAAGCGTTGATTATGAGCCAAATAGGAGTTTTATAACCGCGTAAGCTGTAAGCTCATACATTGAACATGTTAGAATGATTGCTTCTTCAGGGAATGTTAATCGTCTCGTTATAGCGAGGAGGCAGTGTTCCCTTTGAATATCAAATACAGTAATTTCCAGCAGTACTCCACGTATCATCCTATCAGACGTGTCGATTCCACCAAGGAGGCTCACAAAAATTCGTCACTGTGGTGGTCATTGTTCTTGAGAATGTCCTCTTGCTGACCGTCTAGCATTTACGTTCACTTTTGTCAAACCCAGCATATCGAAAGGGCTGTCGTGTAAAAATGATCATGGAAATGTACTAAACAGAGAGATGGACAAGGGACACACTTTATATGACAATGGACTACGTTTAATTTTTGAAATATTTGGGAATCAGTAATATGACGAATCTCATATCCGAATAGATATCGGTATTACAGTATGTCCCGCTGGTTAATTTTAACAAATAACCTAATTCTAATAAACTGGAGTGAGTTTCAGCAACATATGAGGATCGCATACGATAACGTTTTTAGAGCATGTACAGCGCAGTGGTTAAAGGTGGCGTCCAATACGCATGGGCTCGATCCCACTCACCAGGCTCTTCAAGACTTCCAGCCCTTCCTGCTCGACGTGGTGGTACCAACCCTGCCTAGAAGCTTAGATCGATATATTGGAGACTACCGCGAGTCATTGTATATTCCAGACATGCATTCAATCACTTCCAAGGACGCTTAATGAAGTCGAATTCATGGCGCAACTCTCAGGGATTGATCAATGCCGACAGGCATATCCTTCATCCTTTTACGATTATTTTTTACTCAAATATTATATGGACAATACTTAATGAATGAATGCGTTATCGTTGGTACCAGTAGAAGTGAGAGGAAAAAGGAAGAATAATAGGATAAAAGACACTTTCTGCTTTCTACTATTGAGAGGATCGCATACCTGAAATTCCTGAACAGATTGGGGCACACAAACACTTCGGCTTCGTCTGCGATTGGATGGCGATGGATATGGTGACAATTCAGGTGGTTCGTCTACTGACAAATGAACTCGTTGTACACCGGCTGGAATGATTCATTTTATTGCACTCGAGATTTAATCCGTCCAAATTTGGGGCTGAAAGATGTTTGTAGCACAGTGCTCAAAGGTATTCTGGTCATTGATCCAGCCCAGCACATCAGGCAAATTCAAATCTGTCCCCATCAGTAGTCGGCTAATTGGTATCAGACCTGCCTGGGAAGAGAAGAACGCGATAGGACTCCGACAAATCATTGTACGGACCAAATGAACTCCGCATCTCCTTTACGACACTTACTGGAGACTATGGTCCATGAGGCATCACTGATTGATTGATCAACTCCAGATACTCGATCTACCCTAGATTTTGACCTGGATGTTTAAGACGTGGAGTTTAATTCTACGAGATGATTCCTAACGGCTTTCTATTCATTTCTTAGCCAACTGATTCAAAGCAACTAGTTGAGTCGATAGAGTCCAATCCGCATACACAAACAAGAATACATATGCATCTACATACGAATATGATTACATGTGAGCGAGAAATATTAGGTAAAGTAGCGTTACAGTGACAAGAAGCTAATCTCCTGAATCCTTTGTCACCGAAGTCTTACAGTGCACTGAGTAGTCAGCCGCAAAAAAGAAATTTGTGGCCATTATTATAAAAGCTGTATGTATCATACATGATTGAAGTCATTATAATAAGAGCACATGTCTTCTTATTTTTTATGACCCTTCCTTAATGCAATGCGTTTCTCAAAACTTCTTCCACTCGCTTCATTGTCTCGCATCTCGATCGCTTATGTTGCGATCCAAAGCTGCATAATGGGGCAAATTCATTCAAAGATCACAAACACTATACACTTTTGAGATGAGACCATTCTTTTTGCTATCTTTGACGAAAGTGAAGTCGCGGACATCTCGTTGGAACCTATTGAACCGTATGTTTATTGCCAGCTGCTGAAAGAAATGTGGAACATTTTCGTAGATTAGGTAACCTTGTTGCTAACAGGTGTGGTGTACTGAAAAGATGAAAAGGCATTTTATTTCAGGACTGAACATTAAATAACGTCCAAAACTATCCCAAACAACACCTCTTTGGAAGTTCGCAATAAAATAATATTAAGTTTCGATAATAAAACTGGTACGCACATTTAATGGAGACGGTATCCACTTCCAATTTCCATTTTGGTGGAGACGACCTCTGCCCACCACTGACGTATCGAGTGTGACTTAGACTTCGTGGCGATTTCTTCTTTGTAATAGATGTAACACTGAAAAAAAGATAGAAATCGCGATATACGAGGATACTACGGACTCGCAAGTTTTAGCTATCCTTCACTTTTAAATATTTTTATTTACTACTCTGAAAAGAGCCAAGTCTTTCAGGAGGCGTTTTTCTATCAGTCATCCGAAACGGCGTAGTACCTGAATCGCACGGAAAAAAGATTTTTAATCACAACGATACCATTATACAAATACGCTGGAGTTTTCTCAAAACCGGTTTCTCACGAACTGCTGATTTTTTTTCGATAAAAAGAAAATCTGTTGAATCAAGTTCGTGAATGACTTATAGAATGGAGATGCTCTCTCTGTTTAATAGTGTGGTTTTTTGATATTGTCATTTCGTTTACACAGTCCTTTAGACTTTTTTATCTAATATAAATCTCTATGTATACGTATCACCTGTATCACTTTGATCACCGAGTGACTCGAGCGGGCGCTAGTGAATCTTCCATTCCTCCCTGTCGCGAGCAACTGTAGCCCAGTGAGTCCTGTTCGCTCTAGAGAATCATTGAGCATAATACCCTTCTTCTAAGGTTTTCGTGAAGAACTCTGACCATCGGGTCGATAGTCTTTCTACAGCACGCTTGACATCCTGAGGAATCCAGGCACTAACGATTTTTATCCATCGGTTGTGGTTCATTCGCCTTACGTATCCGGCCTACCCTACCTTCGACACTTTGACGTATAAAACGGCGTCTGTAATTTATAGTCATTGACGTATGTTGGAGCTTCGGATCCCATCTTTCATTTGTCTAACACGAGACAATTCTAGCATCGTCTTTTCGGCTGCGCTTTCAATAACGCTGAGTGATCTTTCATCCTTCTTCTGTAACGACCAGCCCTCTCAC